TCTCAAAAACTCCGTCAGTGGTCTACATGGGGGGCTTTGGCCAAAGACTTTTTGGAAAGATTCTAGTTTAATGTCGAAGCTGTCCTTGACAGATATTATTTGGAAAAAATCAAGCAAAGGACCACGAAAGACTATCGTGAATATACATGTCGCTGGAGGAAAGAAGCTGCAAAGGTATAACATGTGATGACTAAAAGCAAAATAACCTCTGCGTTTATTCGAGCTCAGGAGCCCGAGTATTATGAAAAGATGTTGCCCATGATGGGATAGAAGTTTTCGGAGTTGATTAGAATGGGAGAAGCCATAGATGATGACCTCAAGTCTGGAAAGGTTACAAGTCTCACTGCTTTGCAGGCCGCCAACAAAACCTCACCATCCATGGTCACAAGATTCACTAGGAAAAAGAAAGAAGACGTGTTTGTTGTATCCTATAGCCCGAGGCCAAGGCCGCAAAGGTATTTTGGGTCTGGTTCTGCTATTAGAAACTCACACCGATTCCCCATCTCAAATATTTACCCACCATCTCCACAAGCTCCAATCCCAATCTATTATGCACAACAGAACTACCAAGCACCACCGCCTATCTACCAAAATCAACCACCAACCTACCAAAATACACTACCAAATCACCAAGCCAACACACCAGTCTACCAAAATCTCGGACAAAACAACCCAAATGTAAACAATCTACCCCGTCCTAACCTCGAAAGAAAGCCTCCCAGAGTTTTCACTCCCTTGGCAAAAACACTACCCAACTCTTTGAGCGTCTAAGAGTGACAAGATTAATCCAACCAGTAGACGCAAGGACAATTAATCCCACAACAAAGTTCTTCCGAGTAGATCAACGTTGTGCGTACCATTCTCGAGGGGCAGGACATGATACAGAATGATGTATCAATCTGAAACATAAGATTCAAGACTTGATCGATAACAGGGTCATCACTCTCCAAGCCCCTGCCCCCAATGTGAACCTTAACCTGTTGTCGAATCATGAATGAGATACCATCAACATGATTGAAAGAAACGAAGATTGGCTTGATAATGGGACTATCAGTGAAGCAAATGTCAACTCACTTATACCAACAGTGGCATCATTGACTATAAAGGCCTGTCCAAAGTTTGTTGTAATAACTGCACCTCATCAAGCATTCGCTTTGACAAAGGAAAGCAGCAACGAGCGGCCCAAAGAAAAGTTTGTCATACAGGCGGCAACTGCACAAGGGATGACACGTTCTAGAAGATGTTACATTCTAGAAGAACTAACTCAGGAGACACGAAGAAAGGAGGACCAAAAAAGGCCGATCACAGAGGGTGAGGCTGAAGAGTTTTGGTGAAGAATGCAGCCTAAAGAGTATTCCATTTCCAAGCATTTGAAGAAGACTCCCGCTCAAATTTCTGTTTGGGCTCTATTAATAAGTTTCGAGTACCATCGAGAAACACTGTTGAAGGTACTTGATGAAACGTATGTACCGACGGGAACAAGTGGTGAGAATCTGGCCACCATGGTAGGTCATGTCATTGGGAGTCATCAAATCTCTTTTCGAGAAGAGGAGTTGCCACTCGAAAGGGTAATGCACAACCGTGCCTTGTATATCACCGTCAAATGCAGGGATAAGTTTGTAGCTAGAGTATTGATTGATAATGGCTCAGGGCTCAATATCTGCCCATTATCAACCCTGACTCAGCTAAATTATAATATAGGGAAAATCCGTTAAAGTCGCATGAACGCAAAGGCATTTGATGATTCGCAAAGAGAGATCATGAGAGAAGTAGACTTGTGTATCCAAATGGGGCCTACAAAATTTATCACTGAATTCCAGATAATGGGTATATCTACAAGCTATAACTTATTGCTAGGAATACCATGGATCCATGCGGTCGGAGTAGTTCCATCCACATTGCATCAACTTTTGAAGTTTATCTGGGATAACCATGAAATTGTCATTCATGGTGAAGGGAGTGATCATAGGTACCATGGTTTCTCCATTCCAGTTATTGAAGAGTCTTCTCAGGGTACTAACTTTCATATGGTATCAATGACGCAAGTTTATAAAATGCTAGCCACAACTATGCTGAGAAATTGTTTTGAACATGGGCGTGGGTTAGGTAAGAATTTGGATGGCATATCCGAACCTCTTCCTACACCACTTCAAAATTTTCGCTTTGGTATCGGTTATACCCCAATAGAGAAAAAATTGTTTGAAGCAGAAACAAGGAAGAAACATGATTGTGATATACCGAAGTCTATTCTAGTATTGTACTAGTCATTTGTTGCTAAAGCTTCAGAGCCTGAGATTGATGGTCTAGTGGAAGGGATGGGAAGATTGTTTGATGAAGAAGATTGTGTTGTGATCTCGGCAGAATGTACCACAACACCCATCATCCGAGATGCCGGACCTGGAGAGATGCTACAGAATTGGATGGCCACTCCACTTATGATCCATCAAATGGCTTGGTAGACAAAGACAAGATTTGATGTTTTACTTTCTTTTTTTAAATCGGTGTTATTCGGACGAGGGTCGAAACCACCATTTATGTCACTTTATTTTTCATCGTAACGTTTAAAAAGAAAATGACTCATGAGTCATGACCAAAGTTTGTACGCCTTTTTTAAAATTCCAATGAAAGCCTCGTTTATTTTAAATTGATTATCTTGTCATTGTGAATTATTCTCCAATAAATACATTTAAACTCTTTCTATCTAACACGGTTGATTTGTTGTTCTTTTCAATAAAAATGAATCTAAACCTGCCAATGTCCTGACATGTCATAAACACGGCAAACCAAGTAAGATCGATGAAGATGAATGTGAAGACTATGATGAGGAAACTATGATGCTTAAACACCTTACCGAGGACTTGAGGCAACTTGAAAATGATGAAAATCCCAACCTGGATTAAACAGAGACAGTAAACTTGGGAGATGACGAGTCGATCAGAAAAACCCGAGTCAGTGTCCATTTGGCAGCAACAGAAAGAGAAGAATTGGTCAAGCTGCTCAGACAATACATCGATATGTTTGCCTGGTCTTATGATAATATGCCAGGGTTAAGCACTGATATTGTTTCCCATAAGCTGCCTATCAATTCAGAGTAATGTCTAATAAAGTAGAAAACCAGAAAGTTCAAGCCCGATCTGAGCTTAAGGATAAAAGAGGAGGTCATGAAACAGATCGAATCAAAAGTCGTTGAAGTGACCAAGTATCCCACTTGGCTGGCTAACATTGTTCCAATGACGAAGAAAGATGGAAAAATCAGAATATGTGTGCATTATCGAGATCTCAACAAAGCGAGTCCGAAAGATAATTTCCCCTGGCCGAATATCCACATACTCATATATAATTGTGCTAAGTATGAGTTGCAATCTTTTGTGGATTGCTTTGCGGGATACCACCAGATTCTAATGGATGAAGAAGATGCAGAAAAAATAACATTCATCACACCTTGAGGAGTCTACCATTATCGAATGATGCCGTTCGGCCTCAAAAATGCTTGAGCCACTTACATGAGAGCTATGACCACCATTTTCCATGATATAATCCACAAAGAAATTGAGCTGTATGTGGACGATATCATCATAAAATCTCGCGAGAGTTCGGATCACCTGACACACTTGGAAAAGTTCTTTAACAGGTTACGTAGGTATGATTTGAAGTTGAACCCAGCCAAATGTACATTTGGAGTATCTACAGGGAAGTTATTCATATTCATAGTTAGCTTGATCCTTCCAAAATCAAGGCAATTCAAGACTTACCTCCTCCAAAGACTAAGAAGGAAGTAATGAGTTTTTTGGGGGGACTAAACTACATTAGTTGGTTCATAGCTCAATCAACGGTGATATGTGAGCCTATATTCAACTTACTACGAAAAGATGCCACAACCAAATGGACCGAAGAATGTCAGAAGGCTTTTGACACCATCAAAAGTTACCATTCGAATCCACCAATGTTGGTGCCACCACATGCATGCAGTCTTCTGCTATTGTATTTATCCGTCTCCGACAATACATTCAAGTATGTGTTGGGACAACATGATGAGACCGGAAGAAATGAGAGAGCTATATACTATTTGAGCAAGAAGTTCACATCTTATGAGGCCCGTTACACCTTTTTAGAGAGAACTTATTGAGCTTTGACTTGGGTTGCTCAGAAATTGAGACATTATCTGTCGGCTTATCCAACACATCTCATTTCGAGGATGGACCTGCTTAAGTACATATTTCAGAAAGCAATTCCCATAGGAAAGCTAGCAAAGTGGCAAATGTTATTGAGTGAGTTCGATATTGTGTACATGACTCAGAAAGCAATCAAGGGGCAAGCCTTGGCCGATCACCTTGCTGAAAACCCAGTAGATGAAGGATATGAACCACTTAGAACATATTACCCTAATGAAAAAGTATTATTTGTAGGGGAAGAAATATCAGAATCATATCCTGGGTAGAGAATGTTCTTTGATGGAGCAGTAAACTCTATAGGATCAGGAATTGGAGCAGTATTGATATCTGAATCGGGGCAACATTATCCAGCAACAGCAAAGCTTAGATTTTGATGCACTAATAACATGGCTGAGTACGAAGCATCTATTCTTGGTATTAGAATGGTTCTTGACATGAACGTTCAAGAATTACTGATAATCGGTGATTCAGACTTGTTGATTCATTAAGTTCAAGGAAAATGGGCGGTAAAGAATCCTAAAATCCTACCTTACGTACAATTGGTACAGAGATTATGCCAAAGATTTAGGAAGACCGAGTTCAGACACACGCCGAGAATATAGAACGAGTTTGTTGATGCCCTCGCAACCATATCATCCATGATACAACACCCAAAGAAAAGCTATATCGATCCACTTAAGATAGTTTTAAAAGAACAACCAGCACATTGTTTACATGTAGAAGCAGAATGGGATGGGAATCCATGGTATGTCGATGTGAAAAAAGTACTTAGAAGCTGACGAATACCCGAAAAAAGCAATAAGTATTCAGAAGAAAACAATCCGAAGAATGGCAAATAACTTCTTCTTGAATGGAGAGGTTCTTTTTAAGAGGACACCCGATCTGGGATTACTGAGATGTGTGGATGCTGCAGAAGCCACAAAATTGCTTGAAGAAGTGCACGCCGGAGTGTGTGAGACACACATGAATGGGTTTATATTAGGAAAGAAAATCTTAAGGGCGGGATATTTCTGGATGACTATGGAAAATGATTGTGGCCGATTTGTCCAAAAATGTCATAAATGTCAGGTACACGGAGATCTGATCAAAGTACCGCCCCACGAGCTCAATGCGATGAGTTCCCCTTGGCCATTTGCACCTGGGGCATGGATGTTATTGGACCGATTGAACCTGCTGCCTCCAATGGTCATAGGTTCATTTTGGTCGCCATTGATTACTTTACCAAGTGGGTCGAAGCTGCTTCCTACAAAGCTGTGACAAAGAAAGTTGCGACTGATTTTGTTCGCAACAATTTGGTATGTCGTTTTGGAGTTCCAGAGTCTATCATCACAGACAATGGTGCAAATCTGAATAGTCACTTGACGAAAGAGATATGTGAACAATTCAAAATTACCCATCGCAATTCAACTGCATATTGCCATTAGATGAATGGAGTTGTGGAAGCTGCTAATAAGAACATCAAGAGGATAGTGAGAAAGATGATTGACAACTACAAATGTTGGCATGAAAATTTGCCTTATGCTTTGCTAGGTTACCGCACTACAATCCGAACCTCAACTGGAGTAACTCCTTATCTATTGGTATACGGAACAAAAGCAGTGATACCAGCTGAAGTTGAGATACCATCTTTAAGGATTATTCAGAAAGCTGGATTGAGTGATGCTGAGTGGGTTCGTGACCGGTATGAGCAGTTGACATTGATTGATGAGAAAAGAATGAGTGTTGTTTGTAATGGCCAGTTGTATCAACAGAGAATGACTCGCGCTTTCAACAAGAAAGTAAGAGTTCGAACATTTAAGGTAAGCCAATTGGTGTTGAAACGCATTTTCCCTCATCAAGACGAATACAAAGGGAAGTTTGCACCTAACTGGCAAGGACCGTATGTTGTCCACAAAGTACTATCAAGAGGAGCTTTGTTTCTAGCAGAGGTAGACGGTAGAGTGTGGCGAAAAGCTATCAATTCAGATGCTGTCAAGAGATACTACATTTGAAGGATGATACTTTTTTCCTTTATTTCCATGTAATTACAGTTTGCCTGTAATCATTATCACATTATGTTTTGGAACATTTTTCCTTGTACTCGAACTATGTTCGACCTGAATTCTCAAGAATGAGATACGTAGGCGGCCTAGGTCGGCCTCGGTCGTTTCCTTATCAAATTTTCTATTTTTGTCACTTCTCGAGATGGGAACTACGTTTGACCTGATTTCTGCCTCAACGGAATACGTAGGCGCCACAAGGGTTCGGTCATATTCCCAATATGATTTCCATTTCCCCTCACAATGGAAACTGTGACAGAATTTTTGAGATGACCTCAAAAATTCTACAAAAAGGGTCATTTTCTACAAACAAGAGTCATATATCATATCGAAATGTCCAACTGGGAATAATTTTGAAGAGATCTCAAATTCAAGACTCCATTGATCATCATCAGATTTATTTTTGAAACATTTAACTGGGACAGAATTTTTGAGAAGGACCTCAAAAATTCCATCAAGGATACTCGGACATTTGGAGTTAACTTCAATTGCCTCAAATTCACGTGTTCTTAAAGGGTTTTAAGTTGACATCAAGCTACCTATCATGTCAAAATCTGAGACAAAGGGTTTTGTCCGTATCGTGCATATCGTGACAGTTAATTGGCAGAGATTTTCTTTAAAACTATTTTTCAAAACTTCATGCCTAGTTAATGTTTTAATTTAAATCTAATTTCTTCTTTTGTCTACTATGATTCATTGGATCTACCAGACAAAGTTCCAGAGATAACGAGACCAGGAGTAAGGTGACTTTAACACAAATCAGTGTTCCAAAACTAACATATTTTTGTGGATGCAGGGTATAATAAGGTCATCAAAGGAGCTATATTTATCAACCAATTAGTTCAGGAGAACATATCCATCAAATATCAATTAGTGAGTGTAACATCTTCGTTTGATCAAAAAGGTATTTGACAGATTAAGGATTAGTATCTACCGCTTAAGGCTGCGAGATACCGACAAAAATGATGTTATGATCAAAAAGCACCTATCATCATATCAAATATTGATGGAAGACGACGTTCATAGTCAAAATCATATTCAAATTGCCGAGAGGGCCATTGCATATTCAAATTGCCGAGAGAGTCATCATATTCATGCCGCCGAGAGGGCCATTGCATATTCAAAATGCCGAGAGGGCCATTCATATTCAAAATGTCGAGAGGGCCATTGCATATTAAATTGCCTAGAAGGCCATCATATTCAAACTGCCGAGAAGGCCATCATATCCAAATCGCCAAGAGGGCCATTGCGTATTCAAACCGCCAAGAGGGCTATTACATATTCAAACCGCCAAGAAGGCTATTGCATATTCAAACTGTCGAGAAGGCCATCATATTCAAATCGCTAAGAGGGTCATTGCATATTCAAATTGCCGAAAGGGTCATTCATATTTAAATTGCCAAAAGGACCATTGCATATCACAATGCCTAGAAGGCCATCATATTTGAATCGCCAAAGGGCCATTGCATATTCAAATTGCCGAGAAGGCCATCATATCCAAATCGCCAAGAGGGTCATTGCGTATTCAAACAGCCAAGAGAGTCATTACATATTCAAACCGCCAAGAGGGTCATTACATATTCAAACTGCCGAAAAGGCTATTATATTCGAATCGCCAAAGGGCCATTGCATATTCAAATTGCCGAGAAGGCCATCATATCCAAATCACCAAGAGGGCCATTGCGTATTCAAATCGCCAAAAGGCCATTACATATTCAAACCGCCAAGAGGGCCATTACATATTCAAACTGCCGAGAAGGCCATCATATTCTAATCGCCAAAAGGGCCATTGGATATTCAAACTGCCGAGAAGGCCATCATATTCGAATCGCCAAAAGGGCCATTGGATATTCAAACTGCCGAGAAGGCCATCATATCCAAATCGCCAAGAGGGCCATTGCGTATTCAAACCGTCAAGAGGGACATTACATATTCAAACCACCAAGAGGGCCATTGCATATTCAAACTGCCGAGAAGGCCATCATATTCAAATCACCAAGAGGGCCATTGCATATTCAAATTGTCGAAAGAGCCATTCATATTTAAATTGCCAAAAGGAACATTGCATATCAAAATGCCAAGAGGGGCATTTATATTCAAACCTCCAAGAGGGCCATTGTATATCCAACTGTCGAGAGGGCCATCATATTCAACCATCAAGAGAACCATCAACATATTACATTAGTCTATTTTACTACTTCGATCGAAGAGTCATGTTGCAATTATGAGATACATGTTTTATTTGTTTTACGTCAAATCGAAAGAAGTTGACGCCAAATATTCAAGGAGAACAATTAAGTGCCAACATGGTAAATGACACAATCTCTCCATTTGAATTATATTTTACACTAATGTGTTTTATCTCAGTCTTTGTCGAGAGCATCCGAAAGGATGAATACTCAAATCAAACCACAAGTGCTGACGACATAAAAAATGATGCAGCACAACGTAAACTTTTCTTAGCAGCGAACTGGGACATAGTCCAAACAGGAGTATCAAACTCTGAGGACGCGAGCTTGATGAGCGACTTCCACCGCAATCAAACCACACCCCTATCAAAAGGCATGTGGTCATTGCCTTAGGTTTATCAGTTCCAATTTCGCATTCGAAAAATTTTCCACTCTCACCAGAGGCAGCTTTCCAATTTGAGTGACAATGCACCAAGAGCTTTGGAAATTATGTCCGTATAAGTTCTTAATTATTGGTGTGAAGCATGCCATATTCATGGCTAAGAGGTTGCAAGCCTCTTTTTCATACTCGACTTACTTGTCACTCCTCCAAAACCAAATGTTATCTTGCATAATAGATTTCCTTTCCAACCGATCGAGTCGAACTACAAACAGCCTGATTCCTAAGGTCTAAGGATATGTAGGCGGGCTCAATGTTGAAAACTCGTTGTATTCTGACATTCTCTCTTAAATCTTATTCCCGAGCAATCTGATATGTTCATAATTCGATATCGGGATAGCTTCTGAATTCTTTCATAATCGTGCGTCAAATCAAGCGTATCGAACTACAAGTAGTCTGAGTTCTCATATAGCCTGAGATATGTAGGAAACTTGATACCGAGGTTCGGCCATAATTCCTAAAGTCCATACTAAAATATCATTCCTAAAGATGAAGATGTGGTCGGTCAAAATTGGATTCGTCAATTTCATTTGCCTTGAATTGCTTTCACCAATCCAAGTCAAACGAGGGACAACTGTTGACACCTAATTTTGGACCTCCATATTATAGATTAATCATCGAGCTTCTTTAATTTCAAACGATTTAAAATAATTAGTTTCATAAATTTTCAATAAAATAAAATAAAAATAGTTTTTGCGAGTTTTTAAATAGTCTATCACTTTTGTATTTTTTAATAATATATATGTTTTATATAATTATGTATGAAATAAGTATATCCTATAAATATCCGAAAATCATGTCAAAAGATTTTATATTTTTAGTGTATTTTAAAGTGATGGCTATAATTTTGAATTAATTAGCTTTTATGAAATTCGAAATATTTTTCGAGTTATTTTTATGTAAGTTTTGTCAATTTTATAATTTAAAAATAATAATAAATATGTTTTTATAGTTATGTATATAATTAATATATTTTTATTTGAAAATCGTCTCAAAAGATTTTAGTTTTGCTTTAAATTTTGCCAATTAGTTTAATTAATTAATAGTTAATATTTTAAAAATCAATTATTTCACTTGGTTAAGATTAAGAAGCTCATTAATTAATACTAATTCATCTTATTTAACTTTTGGCCGAATTCACCAATTAAATTCAAATCGGCTAAGTTTTTAACTTCAATTGGTTCTAATTCTAATCCCTTGTAATTGCAATTATAGCCACTTCCTTACAAATTTCTTCAACCCCTTTGCAAGACCAAATTTGGGCCCCTTTTTTGTCAACGGCCCAAGTTTAATTTCCTTTTACCAGTAGCCCTTAACATCAATTCCAACCCAACAACCCATTCTCCATACATAAACCCATTTCAATAATTCCAGCCCATTCCAAACAACAACTCAACAATAATTCCAATTCAATACCCTTTTTTCCAGCAACACCGACAACCAACCGACCCCATACCCTTCTCCTTCCAAACAATACAATACGTACAATCGACAACAATACCATACATACATACCAGTACCAAGCGACCCTATCCCATGCTTGCCTTCGTCTTCTTCATGCTAAATCAACCCGAAAATCGCGTCTCCTACCCTGCAAGAACCCATACCCTGCAGATCCATCACCCTCACGTCTCTTTTCCCCTTTTCTAAGGGATTTTCAAATCCCTTACACTGTTATCTTGAAAAGGAGCAGAGGAGTCCGAATTTCAAATTGGAAATTTCACCCGATTTCCCCCTAATTTCCATCTATATATTCATCTCTTTTGATCACATCAAAAAAAAATCGTGAAAGGATATATGTTAGAGTTTTTTTTGAACAACCAACTTTTACATTTAAGAAATCCTAATACAATTTAGTTCTAAGTTCTAAAGGGTACCTGTTTGAAGCCATCCCGATATTCTAATTTGTTGCTCGAATTTTGAAGTCATATTCCGTGCGGAATCGTTGCTCTCTTGCTCGTCCCATTCCTTGTTCGCTGCCCGGAAAAAGTAACCCATTCACTCCGATAACTTTCTCTTCATCTCTTTTGTTATCTGTTCTTGTTAATGTTGGGAAATCTCTATCTTGTTGGTTGTTCAATGATTAGTTATCGCCGAATTGATACTATTTTGGCGTGAAGTACATGTTTTTAATCGTTTCCATGGGTTAGTCGTGATATTGATTTAAAGTTCGGATAATTTATATTTAGTGTTGTTGTTTCTTTCCTTTTTTGTTTAAGTACATTTTGGTGTTTTCCTCCTCGAATCTGTCATTTGAACATTATTGAGTCAGTATTATTTAATCTTATGTTGTTGTTAAGTGTCTAAGGCGCTGCACTCATGAG